AGGTGCTTTTACTATTTTATGACTTGCGGTGATGGTTAGTTCGAGATTTGGAAGAGTTCTAGTTGAAATCGGAATACTTGGCTCCTTAAGGTTGGCTAAAAAGGCTAAGTTTGACTTCGGTCAACATTTTGAGCAAACGACCTCGGAATCAGGATTTGATGGTTCCAATAGGTTCGTATGATGATTTCGGACTTGGGCATATATTCGGATCGGGTTTTGGATGAACCGGGAGCGTTTCGGCACCTAATAGTGAAAGTTGGTTCTTTGAAGGTTTTGAAGTTCTTTAAATTTGGTTTGGAGTAGGTTTTGGTGATATCGAGGTCCAAATGGGATTCCAAGATCGGGAATAGTTGCTTAATGTCATTTAACACTTGCACGCAAAATTTGGTGTCATTCCGAGTAGTTTAAGTACGTTTCGGCGCATTGGGAGTAAATAGAAGAACTTGAAGTTCATATTTTTGATTCAATTGGTATGGGGTGTGATTCTTAGTTTTGATGTTGTTTTGGGCATTCTGAGAGTTCGAGCGAGTCCGTTTTATGATTCCAAACTTGTTGGTATGTTCGGGCGGGGCCTCAGAGGCCCAGGGTGTTAATCGGACGAGGCTCGGACCAAGTTGGAACTTGGGAGCAACAGCTGAAGCTCCCAGCTGCTGGTGTAATCGCACCTGCGCTTGGTCAGCCGCAGGTGCAAGCTCGCAGGTTCCAGCCACGAGACACAAAAGCGGACAAGACAAGGCTGCCCAGGATCCGCAGGAGCGAGGAATTTAGCGCACCTGCGAACGCGCAGGAGCGATGAATGTGACCGCAGAAGCGGCGGTGTCTGCAGGCGCAGGTGAACGGTCATAGCAGCGGCTGTGCAGGAGCGGCCCCAGCTCCGCAGGTGCGATGGGCCAGTGGCCTGGTTTGTTCTGCAGAAGCGGACTTTTGACCGCAGATCCCTTCGCGAGTGCGAAAATCACAGAAGGTAGAACCTTCATTTATTCCATTGTTGGGCAATTCTTGGACCTCATAGAGAGGGGATTTCATCTAACACTTTGAGGTAAGTAATATCTACCAATTGTGAGTTAAATACATAGTTTATGGGTAGATTATAACATGTAAATTAGTGAAAATCATGGCTTTAAGTGAAAACCTAGGGTTTTGATAAAAATAGGATTTAACCACGAAATTTGTGATGGAATTTAGTAAAAATCACATATTTGAGTTCATTAGGTTATGGGTAACAACTTCCTTCAAAAATTTCCGGAATCCTGGCAAGTGGGCCCGGGGTGAATTTTGAGATTCTTCAAATAGGATTTCAGGAAACCACTTTAATAGTTAGGATATAAATTTTTGAGGATATATTGACTATTTTATATAACATTTGACTAGTTTCGAGTCGTTTGGCACCAAATTGAGGATTTTGAGCACAATCTTGGATTGGAAAGTAGGCTTTGAGACAAGGTAAGTCTCTTTTCTAACCTTGTAAGAGGGAATTAACCCCATAGGTGAACTTAATTAATACGTGCCTTTATTTGTGGGGGCACGTATGCACGAGGTGACGAGAGTCCATGCGTAGATACTATTCATACTTATGTCCGGGTAATTTTAGGTTTACACTATGCTTGGTTGACACTGTTATCCGATTTTGCTTGTTAATTGTCTTGAATAGAGTTGAGGTTGAGGATTTCAAGATTTTAAAAGTTTCTAGTTGAAGTTTTTATTTTCGAAAGAATTTAGGGACATTATGATAACTTGAGAAATTTATGTTCAACCACGTCGCAAGTATCTTCCGCAAGCGGGGTAAATTTTCTACTACTCTCATGGGAGCAGGCCGTCCGTCTCGGCAGGTTAATAGATGTATCTATAATTCGTGTCGTTTGACCCTCGGCAATGCACACAACATATGTATATGTATATTTGGATCGGGTCATACGTCCCCGGCATAACTCGTGCGTAATAATACTGGAAACCCTATTATATTTGATATTGTTTTATTGGCTTGAGAAGTTAAATGGTTAAATGAGGAAAATGATTTGGTTCTTGCTAAGGCTGAAAGGATTGTTTATTTACTTCTTGCTCTGAGTTCTATTGTCATTTATATATATAATGTTTAATTAGAATTTCATAGTATTGTATTGTTGGCCCATAGTAAGTGTCGAAGTCGACCCCTCGTCACTACTTCTTTGAGGTTAGACTAGATACTTACTGGGTACATGTTGTTTATGTACTCACGCTACACTTCTGCACTAAATGTGCAGGATCTGAGGCAGGTGCATCTGGATATCAGACCGTCGCGCATCCCTGATTCCTGAGACTTCGCGGTGAGCTGCCCTTCTGAGCCCGTTCTGCAGCAGCCGGAGTCTTTTTTTTTCTTGTATTTATCTGTCTATTCCACTTCTGACAGTAAACTAGTATTCTTTTGTATATTCTACTATATGCTCATATGCTTATGACACCAGGTCTTGGCACTGTATGTATATTCTACTATATGCTCATATACTTATGACACCAGGTCTTGGCACACACTAGTAGACTTGTGTTTTGGTTTATTTCTATGGTTATGATTGCACTCAGTTGCTTTCATTTTATTTATTTCAAATCTATTATTTCTTAAATCTTTTAAATTGAGGAAAGTTTAATTACTTGAAAATCTATTAAAAGAGAAATGAAGTGGTTAGATCACGGTTGTCTTGCTTAGTGACGGCGCTAGGCGCCATCACGGCCTATAATAGAATTGGGTCGTGACAGAGGTCTCCCGAGGCCTCATTGTGGTTAAATATCTTATGAAAGTGTTGACTGGCTGCATCAGCTATACTCTGGTTTCCTTCTCTCCGCTCCCCTTCTTTATCTTGTATTTTTTGAATGTTCAATCTACTTCTTCTTCCTTTAATCACACTATGAAAATATGCAATATTCTTGTCCCCGTCTTTGAGCCATTGAGCTTTTTACTTTTGTCGGAGGATCGCATCCTGGATCTTTAAGTATGAAATTACTTTGATTTAGCCATGTTCAAGGCTTCTCGCTTGTCAGTGTGTTGTACCTTACCATCTCATCTTCAAGTTCTGAAATTTGCTTTTCTAGTTTCTAGGTTCCTCATATATATCTCCAAAAGCTTCTCTGGACCAGCAACTCAACCTTTTGCAGACCCTCTTCAACTTCTGATGTAAAATTCACATTGGATTCCCAATGACTTCTTCGTGCCAAGTCTTCTCTACCACTAATAAGAAGTCTTTGTGGTCGACCAGAAATCTAAGAATTTAAAGTATCTTGGCTCCTCAGTCTCTGAGGCTTTCGTGGTGATTAAAATGAGATAAATCAATAAATTGATGGGCAATTAACCTTATTAAAGGTTACTTTGGCTGAATTAAGTATATCAGTATGAGCTAAATAATGAGTTATTGTCCAATTCATCCAACTCAACCCAACTATCTTCAAAATATTTCTCGAACTAACCAATGTGTTTTATCCTTTTCAAGCCAGCCAAAACGTCACACATACACAAATCATCAAACTGGTAGGAGGCGAGGAGTTGTGGTCTATCAAATTACTACTTTTATGGAATATCTAGTCAAGTTATTCGCGCTTTGCGCGGTAAAAAAAAATTAACAATATAATTCTTGAATAAACTTAATCGAAATAAAAGAGTTAGAATTTTCACACATCAAAGACAAATCTAAATATTCTCTTACGGATAGCTCCGAAATTCACAATATCACCAATACAAATTTAAATCTATTCACACACTTTACTGTTTCCTAAATAGAACATTATATGCAAAATTGAATACTATTCAACAAATAGGCATTAGAAAAGCGCCAAAACTAATTTGGTTAAAATTTTTAATATAGCAAAAATAATTATAATCTAATCTACAACTTATGAAAAAGGCTGAAGACAAAGCGGAGACCACTCTCAAATGTAAGTGCAATTCACTCTTACTCACATAATTAATCATGTATTTTTAATTAGTTAACTCTTAGATTTCCTATGAATTGAAAAAAGTTTCAAGAGTTTTAAGTTATTTATTTAGAAATAATGTTTCTTAAATACATATTTAATATATGCGTATTTAAGTTTGATTTTTAAATATTTTCAAAAGTTTCTCCTATTAAAAATAGAAAATATGCCACATAAAAAAGGGGGGAAATAAAATAAAGATAAATATCAATGCTAGCCATAATGATGTTTGACATCATTTTATTATAGATCAATTTTATATTATGTATATAAATATACAGAAAACAGAAACAAACCGTTGGTGTACTTGTAGAGGAAGAGAACATTTGAGCTTCCCTTATGAATTGTTCATCTTCTTTAGGAGTGACGCCTATGGTAAGGTTATATATATATATATATATATATATATATATATATATAACAAGCACCTCACTCTGAGTTGATCTTGTGAAAGTACAATTGAGAAAGACATAATTCGATATTTTGATTTCTTTGTGAACATCCCAAGAGTTTATGGGGTTTTCGAGATTATATTACTAAATTAAATAGAGGTTTAAACAAAAAAAGATTGAGGAAGAAGATAAAGGAAACATAAATTTGAGTCAGCTGATACCAATTTTATGTTAAACAATACGTAAGAAGAACAATCTTACCGATGGCATCGCAACTCACTATCAGAATTTTTATCTCCTTAATAGCCAAAAAAACTCATTTTTGTTAATTCTTTCCCTGCACAAGTTGACTCGGTAACAAAGCCGGGGGAGGATACATACCTTACAGCGCTTCTGAAATTTGGAACTTCATCGATCAAATCCTTTTTTTTTTTTTTTTTGGGTAAATAAGTAACTTTATTACCAAGGGCAAAATATGTACAATCATAACAAAAAACCCTAGAGATGGTCAGCACTCCACCTCCGAAAACCTGCTAAAATATTTATCTACTATCCCCTCCTCGCTTATGATATTATCTATTCAATACTAAGGAAATCTTCAGACTCACTACTACTAAAATGTCAATATTATCCTACTCTTCTTCTAACTCTTTTCCTCCAGGACAATTTTCAGGGATAGAAATTCATGGATTCCAGTTGCTTTGTAATCTTCTTGTTGTGGCTCCCTCGACAGTATATGTCTTGCACTATTAGCCTGCTAAGATTGTCAACGGTTCTTCTTCTTCCTTGAAATATTCTTTGATTTCTCTCTTGCCAAATATAGTAAACACTACATGCCAGCACCATTCTATACATTTCTGCTTTTGCGTTTTTCCCATTTGCAAATTTAATCGCCCACTCCTGCTCTTCCACCCATCCCATAACTTGTTTATGCACTCCTTGCCATCTGAGTAATTTATTCCATAGAGTTGCAGAGAAGTTACACTCAAAAAATAAGTGATCAAGAGATTCATCATCATGTTCACACAATGGACAAACCAAATTGTTAGCAATGCCCCACTTCGCTAATCGATCTCTTATGTACAATCTTCCATGTGCTACCAACGTCAAATTGAATACCCATTTAGGACACCCTGCATTATTACAGACAAGTCTCTTCCAAGTGACCTTTGGGAAAGAACCTCTCAATCTCTGATAAAGTTTTTTGATAGAAAAGGAATTCATGGCTAGAATATCAGAATGAGTGTATCCTGCTTCTTCTAAATTCTTTTTGGCCTTCATTATCTTCCTAACATCCAGGAAGCTTGGTTTGGATATGTATCCCAAACTTGCCTCCCTTTTATATAGTAGCAATGAATCCATTGAACTTGTCCTTCTTTTTGCTCAAGTTCCAGTAATGTTTGCTTACTGCTGCCTTATTCCATATATGGATATCCATAACATTAAAGCCACCAGCTGAGTGAGGATAGCAGACCTTCTCCCAAGCTAGGAGAGATTTATGTGACGTTTTATTTTCCCCAGTCCAAAAGAACTTTCTACACACAGCTTCTATCATTTGTATGATCCTCTTTGGTAGTACAAAAATCTGTGACCAGAATGTTTGTATGCCTTATAGTAGTAATTTCTATGATATGATTGGCTTTGGGGATTTTTTCTTTTCTGATTTGCTTATTTGTATATTTAAAATTCATCCAAGTACATTACAGAGTCACCTTTCATTGGCTGCTGCTTTAGAGCTTCATAATGGAATGTGTCTTTAAAAATTGAAACGGTTGTGCCTTTCAGAATTGACGGTTAAACTTTTTAAGTATTGATTTAGTAAATAGCAACAAAAAGAAAAAATTAATAAAAATAGCAAAAAAAGAAGGAAAAAGATAAATGACAATAGTCAAAGAGATGTGCCACCTCAGTTTTCTATTGCCCACAATTGTATTATAATATAGATAGTTATCGTTTATTTTTTAAGCATGTTATCAGTTGTAGGCCAAATACTTATATAACCCCTTAAACTTGGCACTAGGGGTGGGCGTCGGCCAGTTCGGTTCGGTTTTTAGGAAGTTCGGTTCGGTTTGTTCTATTTTTGATTTCCTATTTGGTGCACCAATAACCGAACTAAAATTAGTTCGTTTTCTTCGGTTTTGCTAATTCGGCTCGGTCAATTTTCGGTTCAATTCGGTCGGTTTAGTCTTATCTTATTGAGCTTTTAAATTGGACTTTTTCTACTAAAAAATATGACTAATTTCATATTTTAGAGCAAATAAAAACTCAAAAACGCAATACTTATAATATGATTAGCCAAATCATTTAGTTGATGTAGGAAATATAAATTTATTTGATAAATATTACTTACAATATAACTATCTCGTAGACGTAGACAATCATCTAGAAGCATAATCTAAGCAAGTTCAAATCCCAACGGTATGTAGCTTCCATTATAACATCTTTGGCCGATGATCAAGAAAAAAATGAGGAATATGCACATTGGGAAATTCACTCGAGTGGTTGTAGAAAGGTGCTTTAAAAAGATTGTGGAAAGAACTATTTAGTACAAAGAATTTCGAGTCTTACCCACTATGAAAACTTCGGAAACCGAAGTTGCAAAACCAAGCACCGAACTGAACACTAAAATTATAGAAAAAATAAACCACAAGCCAATAGAATAAGCCGAAAAACCGAAACCGAATAAATGGAAGTTTACGGTTCGGTCAGTTTTTTCGGTTCGATCAGTATTATATCCGTCCCTGCTTGGCACCGATTTTCACTCACACTTTAACTAACACTGTTTCCCATGGAACACTTTATCTATGTTTGAACTGTCCTATTAGACAGATTCGTCTGATGTGGCATAGCACGTGTACCACACTTCTTGTAAGTAGGGGTGCTCATAAAAACCCGAAAAACCCAACCAAACTGAAAACCGAATCAAACCGATACTTTTTGGTTTGGTTTTGTTTTGTTTTTGAATTTTAAAAACCGATCAAATTTGGTTTGGTTTTGGTTTTAATCAGAAAAAAACCGAAAAAAACCGAACCAAACCGAATATAGGAGTAGCTATTTCAAATTATTACACCTATATATATATATGTATATTTTTATACAAAGTTTCAAAAAATTTATGGTAAATGGTAATAGTTTGCACTTTTAGTATAGTTATTTACCTTTACATCTAGTTTGATTGGTAGTTTCCTTTGTTAAGTATAAGAATTCATATCGTGTTAAAAATAATATATTTTTAATTGGGTCCTTAAATTATTCATCACTATTTGATTCAATTATCATTAATATATCTTGGTAAATAATAGATTTCTCAAAGGACAATTGATTTGATAGTGTTACGTTGAAAATGTGGTCAGCGGAATATGTGTTTGGTAATGTATGTCTCATATTTAAGAAAAACCCAACAAATAATCGAAAAAACCGAAAACCCGACATAAACCGAATCGAGAAAAGACCGACTTAATTAGTTTGGTTTGATTCTAATATTTGAAATATCGACTTACTTGGTTTGGTTTCTTTTTAGGGAAAAACCGATCCAAAACGAACCATCAACCCCCCTACTTGTAAGAGCGTGGAAAACTAAAATTTTGTTGTTCAGTATTTTTCTCTCTCCATCTTCACCATTATTACAGCCATCACCTTCATATTAACAACAATCAACCACATGAACAAATTACTCTCTTTCTGTTTATTCCTTCTAGAGAGCTTTGAAGACCTCATATTTTAGGACAAAAGGTACCAATTTCCCAATAATTTACTTGGCCATATGATGGAAGTTGGATGCGAGAGATACAAAAATTAAACTCTACCACTACCTGTGCAACTCCCAGAGGAAATTCGGTGATGATATCTAATCGGACGGTGTCAACTTCCAGCTTTTATTAAACCCTTCTTCTCATTCAATCTGATGACCACGCTTTGAAAGTTCAAGCAGCTCGGGAAATTAGACGCCTCACCAAGACTTCCAAAACATACCGCCGGTTATTTCTCTAACGCCGTGAAACCCCTCATTGATATGTTCCGTTTTAACTTCACCATTGCCCCGGCATTTCTGTCACAGCCATGGATGTAATTTTCAGCGCCCGTTTTGTTGCAGAGCAAGAAAACTTTGAGATTTCGAGAAAATAGTGAGTGGGCTGGCCAGAGTTATATTTATTTATTTTGTTCGAAAGCTTTTTTGACTCAAAATCCATGCGGCGTTTTGTCATTAGTTATTTGTTCACGCATTACATTTGTGTACTGATTAGTCCTGAGGTGTTTAATTGTTATAATTTACTAAAGTTAGTGTGTCTAGTAGGAACAAGCTATAGTTAAAGTATCTAAGTTGAAATCTATGTATTTGGCCTAATTTGTATGTGTACGTAGTGAATCTACTTTTAATATTACAAGATTTTTCTCCGTTGTAGTCTGATTTACTATAAAAGAAAGTTAGCTTTCCTATACTCCAAGAATGTTAATCACTAGTAACTCGTATGATAATAGTAATAATTATAAAGCATATTCTATCATCGCCTACAAACCAATAAATGTTCAACAAAAAATTAAGTTAATTTTTTTTAATCATATTTCACCCTGTCAATCACAAAGCCAATTTCGCAAAAACATAACTTAGCTTTTTTGCATTCTTAGATTAATACAATAGAACTTTGAGATTTGCTAATAAAAAGACTTTTGAGAGTTGGATAAGAATTTTTAACCTACAAAGGGAAAGAGGTGGAAGAGGAAGTTAATGAAACCCTAGGTTTGACTCGTTCGGGGAGATGCTTTGCCCCGGAGGAATTAAGGAAAGCTAAGCCGCTCAAAAATGGTCCAATTCTAGTGAAGAAACCAGTCACCGAAGAGGAAGCGGAAGAGTTTTTGAGAAAAATGAAGGTGCGGGATTACTCCATAGTAGAACAATTGAGAAAGACCCCCGCTCAGATTTCTCTTCTATCATTGTTGATACATTCAGACGATCACCGTCGGGCCCTCATAAAGATTCTGAATGAAGCTCATGTCCCTGACAAGATCACAGTGAACCATTTGGAGAAGATTGCCAATAAGATATTTGAGTCTAACAGGATCACGTTCTCGGATGATGAGTTGCCTCTGGAGGGTACGGAACACAATCGGGCTCTCTATCTCACAGTGAAATGAGAAGATTTCCTGGTCACAAGGGTGTTAGTTGACAATGGTTCCAGTGCAAACACTTGCCCTCTCTCTACTCTGAACAAGTTAAAAATTGATGCTGAGAGGATCCACAAGAATAGTATATGTGTCCGAGGTTTTGATGGAGGGGGAAAAGACTCTGTTGGCGACATCATGCTCGAACTGACAATAGGACCAGTTGAATTTACCATGGAGTTCTAGGTACTGGATGTGGCCGTCTCTTACAATTTGCTGTTGGGTAGGCCCTGGATACATGTTGCCAAAGCAGTTCCGTCTTCTCTGCACCAGATGGTGAAGTTCGAGTGGGACAGACAAGAAATTGTCGTGTATGGTGATGAGAACTTATGTGCATACAATGATACATCCGTCCCGTTTATTGAGGGTGAAGAACATAAGGGGTTGTGGGTCTATCAAGTTTCCGAAACAGTGTCGGTTGAGAAGGTTCTGGAAGGGGAATACATTCCGGGTCCAAAGCTAGCTTCTGCAACCGTCATGGTAGCAAATGAAATGTTGAAGAATGGTTTTGTGTCGGTCAAGGGTCTAGGCGCATCTTTACAAGGTATCGTGCAGCCAATGTCTCTACGTAAAAATCTGGGTACATTTGGTCTGGGGTTCAAGCCTATAGGGGATGATGTGAAGAAAGCTAGAAAGTTGAAAAGGAAGGCATGGTCGTTCCCTAAGTCTATCCCACGTCTCTCCAGGTCTTTCATCAAGTCAGGGGTCGTGAAGCGCCCGGTGTCAGCAGTTCCAAAGCCTGTAGTTGATTTTGACGAGGAGTTGATTGAAAGGTTCCAAAGTCTCTTTGATGAGGTGAACATGGTAGAAATTGGGGAAGGTTCCAGCAAAGTGGACGTGTAGTTTATTGGGCCAAAAGTGAAGCTTAACAATTGGGATGCTACTCCTCTCCCTACTCGGAAGGAGTTTTGGTAGTTTGCTTTATTTTCTTTTCTGTTATCTAGGTTATTCCAGGGTTGTAATCCAGATTTTTATTTTTCGCTTATTTTTATGTACAAACCCTTCTATCCTTTATTTTGAATGAAATGCAATTTCCTTGTCCATTACTCCTGATAGTGTCATTTTTGTCTTTCTTTGTACAGTTCTTTTTATGTTGGTTTCAATGACATGACATGCATGAG